GAGGCCATCAACAAAGCCAATTGCACTTTGTCGTGTATTAGCAGATGCATGACCAACAGATCGAAGGAGGTGATGCTCCCCCTCTATGCAGCATTAGTCAGGATGCAGTTGGAGTACTATGTCCAGTTTTGGGCGCCGCACTTCAAGAGGGACACAGAGGATCTGGAGAGGGTACAGAGGAGGGCCACTCGCATGATTAGTGGTCTCCGTGAAAGACCATACGAGGAGAGGTTGAGATATCTGGATCTCTTCAGCCTATACAAAAGACGGCTGAGGGGTGACAGCAGGGAATTGGGGATGCGCTGTTTACCAGAACACCCCAGGGAGTAACTAGGAATAATGGGTGCAAACTAGTGGAGAGTAGATTTAAGTTAGACATTAGGAAGAAATTTTTTACAATAAGGGTGGCCAGACTCTGGAATGGGCTTCCAAGAGAGGTGGTGCTGTCACCTAACTTGGAGGTCTTCAAGAGGAGGCTTGACAATCACCTGGCTGGGGTTGTCTGACCTTGGTCCTCTTTCCTGCCAGGGGCAGGGGGTTGGACACGATGATCCATTGGGTCCCTTCTGACTATAATCTATGAATCTATGAATAAACGATGTCATTATATCTATCATTATTATTATAAACCTAAGATTACAGTAAGTTATGTGGCTAAGAACAGAGATACTGGAAGCCCTTCGAACAATTATACAATTATTGCTAATATAACTTATTAAAAATCTCTCTCAAATATTGTTTCTGGATATTTTTGAAGGATTGAGTAGAAAGGTCACTCTCTATCCTCTGAATTTATAGCTAAAACTTACCTTTTATGTAAACATCATGAGAGGACGCACCAAAGTCCATGGACAGAAATATTACAGCTGTTTAGAAATAATTAATTTGTTCAACCTTCAGGTTGTTCTGGAATTACCCAAGGTCTCATTTTAAAAGCACAGGCTATCAGTACTGACCTCACATCTGATCTATATGATTCAAAGTTTCCATGTACCTTTCTAATCTTTCTAGGAAAATGGGATAGTATACTTTTCTGGTCACTAATTTTATAGACCACTTTTTTAAATGTAAGAGGATGACCTTTTTGAAAATGCATATCTTTATCATAGGGGTCACTAGATTGTGCCATAATATAGGTAATTTTACTACCCCTGAAAGAAAATGCTATGGTGCTGCATTTTTGGATGCAGGTTTTTTGGAGAAGCCATGACATGTAGCATTGGAGTTTGCTGTTTTTAATCTGTTCTTGAAGCAAAGTTCTCCCTGAAAATGGGGATTAGTATTTGGGTTATGAATTCTGAAAGACGGTATTGCCTGCATGCTGTTTGTGACTACCTTTGTTACAAGACTGGTGTATATGTCTAAATTAACAAATTAGATTGTACTCTGACTGACACGTCTGATTTCTTCTCCAGTGGGAAGCTAATGTGCAAGCCCTCATCTCTGCAGCTTGGAAGAATGGCAACATTATCACATGTGGTGTATGGATCCACCTAGTTGATAGTCTGAATGCTTGGAAATTATTTCTGTGATGTAAGCTTCTCAGATACCCTGGTATCTTCTCCTGGTATGTATTCTTGAGGTGGCATTCAGGGTATGTCATAGGCTATGCTCCCTGAGGTCTAATTTCTGCAGTGTTTACTCAGACAAAACTTCCAGTAAAATCATTTGCAATAACTGTGAAGAATTCTAGGATCTGGCCCATTGATAATGTACCACAAAGAAATGGTCTGGGGCAGGGGTGAGTAATTATTTGGGCCTGAGGGCCACATAGGGAGTTTTGGGGAACTATTGTGGGCTGGCTCAGCATCACAACAGCTCACCAAACCTCCTAATGTGGGATGGTGCTGTGGGAGGAGCTGATGTGGGCATGGGCAGCAGCTTCAGCCTCCAGCCCACCCTCCTACCCCAAGAAGGGGCTCAGGCAGATGCCCTGATCCCCAGGGGGAAGCTGCTACCTGCGTCTGCAACTGATGCTGGCACCTGCCTGGTACTGCTTTTGGTGCATAGGCTGGGAGCTGGTGTAAGCTGCGGGGCTATGCTGTAGGTGTAGGACAGTTTGTCAGGAGGGGGAGGAAGGAGGGTTGAAGTGGAGAGACAGAGAGCCCTGCCCATGATGAACGACAGCAGCTGGTGCTGGTCACTGAGCAAAAGCAGGACCCGGCAGCAGGCATGCTCACTGCTTCTCGGCCCTGCCCTGCTGCCACTGACCTGCAGACCCAGGGTGCCCTGGAGGTGGTGCAGGGTGGCAGCAGCACAGAGGAGCTGCAGGGCAGCCCTGGCATGGGCTCCAGGCAGCTGCAGCCAGAAGGACCCTGGATGAGGCAAGCTTGCCTGCTGCCAGGTCTTGCTTTTGCCTGGTGCCCAGCACCAGCTGCTGCCACTCATGGGTAGGGCCACCTCTCTCTGTCTCCCCCTTCTTCCTTCCCCCCCGCCCCCCACAGCTGCCTCCCACCTACAGCATGGCCCGCAGCTTACACCAGCTTCTAGCCTATGTGCCAGAAGCAGCACTGGGGGGGGTGCTGGCATCAGCTGTGGATGTAGGCGGCTGATTCCTGCTGGAGATTGGGGTGTCCTCCTGGGTTTACAGGTGACGCTGCTGCATCAGCTTGTCAGCTGCAGTTCTAGGCAGTCACCCTGATCCCCAGCGAGAATGTGCAGGCAGCATCCACAGCTGATGCCAGCATGCACTCAGCTCTGCTTCCAGCATGGGGTGTGGGAGCTGGTGTAAGCTGTGGATAGGGCTTGGATGTGCCCACCTGCCCAGCATGATGCAGCAGCCGGAACCAACAGCTCCCTATGGGCTAGATCCTGTGACTTTACAGCTGTCAACTTGCAGGCTGGATACAATCAGTTGGTGGGCCAGATCCAGCCCGTGAGTCGTATTTTGCCCACCCTGACCTAGGTCTTCGAGGTTGCCAATCAGTTGCAATGTGGATACTCTCCATTAGGTTCTTAACACTGGGACTACCTTTAGAATAACATATACTACCCAATTCAAGTAAGGGTTGCAGAATATAACCCTAAATAATCAGCTAATCATATAATAACTGATGAGCAAAAATGCAACATTTCACTGTGCAGGGATACACTTTATTCGTGGCAGAACTTAAGTAATTCAGACTTTCAGACTGATCTTAAAACTTGGGCCAAGTGGTTGCAAAACACACTGTGCTTGCATTCCTGTGTGACAGTCTTAAACACATTTATTATCATAATCAAACTGTCAAAGATAAAACGTGGTATAAAATACAGAGTATAGAAACATAATGTCTCACACTACCTAATACAGTTGCTGAAAAAATGAAGGCTGTTGCCATTGTGCTTTTGGCTGCCTTAGCATATTCCCACTTGGTCTCTGGTGAACCTGCAGTCAAAGCAAATGGCATTTTTCTAAATAGACAACATTACAGTTCAATAAGTGTTGCTAATGGAGGACCTTGGGGTACCTGGACCTGGATTGATATGTGCCCAGAACATTTCTATGCTATGGGATTTAGTATAAAGGTAACTGCAGCTGGTCAGTCTTGTGAGATCCTTGTCAGTGCTATAGGCCCTTAGCATGTTAACTGTGTTCCTCTTTTATTTCTGTTTTAGGTGGAGGAGTATGGAGGAGCTGATGATGACACTGCACTCAATGGGATCCGTTTATTTTGCATAAACCCCAATAATACTGATAGTACTGTCTATAGTGTTGAGTCTGATTCTGGAAAGTAAGTTTAATGATATTTAATGTTTGATCTTTAGTAAATCTGATGAGGAGGAATCTGAGAACTAGTAGTACTATCAACCATCATGGAACCAGCTGTTGTGTCCAGATGGTTGTTTTTAATGCTGGAGATATTATTGCTTACCTTCCCTAGGCCACTTTATGGTCTAGAGTATACCAATGCGACCCCGATAGTCTTGGATGGGCCTCAATGTTTTAATTATGCATGATCTGCAAAGAAAATAGTTACAGTTTAAATATAAGAAGTTATTTGTATTATGTTTCAATTTCTTAGGTTTCACTTGAAACACTACTTTGATGTTCTTTAAAAGTTAAAATTGACACTCCATCCTCACGTGACATTTTGGCCTTTAAAATTTCTTGTTAATAGCATCCATTAAAGAGGTGCTCTAGATGTGAAATGTTGTTGCATTAAAATATGTCTAAATGGGTAAGAATAGTTCTGTATTCTATTATTAAATTCTACCTCAGGCTATGTGAAAGATCTGCACAATTAAGGTAAAATGACTAATAAGAAACCTGACCCAGTTGGATGTACTGGCATAGGCCCTCTGTCTTCATGGTACTCTCCATTAGTGGAGGGTTCAGCAAATAGTCTGACTGGAGTTCACTACTGCACAGGGGAAACACCGAGAGTGGCCATAAATACAATTCATCAAATACATAAAGTTAAAGAAACTAGAAAAAATTGAGAACTATTTTCCTTTAATGTTTTCACTAAGGGCCATCTTTGGAATTATTTGTAATGGTAGTATGTAACAAAAGTTGAAACAAAGTATTTTAAGTCTCTGCTATCTG